CAACCAGAAATGTCACATAGTTCCTGTGTTTCTCTGGGCAGCATTTCTATCATGTCTATCTCCACATTTTGGTCTGTCTTTACAATGAATCCTGGCAGGATCTACCCTGAGCCAACTGTGAAGCAGATCAGGCTAGCCTTTGATGTCCCTGTACCCTACTTTCTAGGATATACAGGGTTACACCCCTTCGTGGACCTGGTATGTTTCCCATATTTTCCTGATTCTTCCACTCTACTGGAAACCATGTGCTCTCAATGCACAGTCTTCAGTAATTTTAAAAAATAGGCAGAAAGGAATTATTAATCAGAAAAATGAATTCTTGGTAAGGTGGCCAATATATGATACTTTTAAGTAAGGAATGATGGAAAACCAAATTAAAATGTACTTTTAAATTAAATCCCTTACATATAATCATAGTTATATTAGTGGTGAGAATTTCCACTCAAGTACCAAGGTGATAAGGGAACGCTTCAGGCACATTTGGCTTTTCTTTAACTTCCAATTGACCTATATATTCCCTTGCCCACATGTGAAGTTGATGCAGACCAGCAGATTATATAGCCCCTGGCCTATTGCAGATACCATGAGTGAATTGAAATACTACTCTTTATTATTATTGAATCAATTCATTCTAAACCCATTAAAATTTTTGGCTTTTCTAAAGAAGGTAAATCTGACCTGGGTTAAATGGAGGTATCATGTTCAAACATCAAATCCTTCCACTGAACTGAACTTCATTACAGAGAATTTTTTAACTTCCCATGACCAAAACCCAAGTCAAAGGAACATGAGGTAACTAAAAGGCAACGAAATATGAAGGGTCTGAAAGCCGTATGTTCACTGACTGCAATATGATACATGGATTCTACTACAATGACCCAATATTCATGGTCATCTTAAGCACTCAGGGAAATAATGTCCCCTTGTCAGATCATGCCTGAAAGAAGATCACTTTTTCAAGCTACAAAGAATAAGCTATATTTGGAAATGAGGATCTTCATAAAATTTTGCATTGAACTCATGGACCATAGAAACCTTCATGAACTTGCTCTAGATGATATCTCTATCTTGACAGGCAGGAGTTTTGATTTACCCACCAATGTACGAATAACTCTAAGTTAGTTGTAAGCAGTGCATGGCAAATTATAGAAGCTCAAAAATATTCTCAATGAATGAAAGATTGTAGGCACGAGTGAATTAACAACCAGCACACATTATACCCATTACTAGTCTAGGTGGTCAGCAACAATCCTCCCTTAGAATGGTAGTATTTCAGCCAGGAGAGATTAGCCAGGGAATCCTTAAGAGGAATGATAAGGTTGACAACTGAAGCACACGTAACCAAAGGAACACCGCTTAAAGGCATCACATTAACAAAAACTGTCACTACAGAATTCCACCCCTATGAATAGGAACACATCCTGCAGAACACACACCTGAACTACCACCGGAGTAAGGGACAGGGGTAGAAGGACATAAACAGCAACATGGGACTCCAGATCACCAAGTCTCAAGGTGCTGCCTCTACCCAGGAAA